TAGATTTGTTTATCATTCTTCTTGAGAAATCATTCCAATTTCCGAAAGTTACTTTTACTCCATTACAACAGTCTATTTTATTTTAAGGCAGCAGTTTCTGAGAGTGAACATGCTAATACTTATATTTCATAACATAATATTCTCCCTTTTTGAGTTAAGGTGAAATAAATTGAACTGTGCTTTGAAGTTTAAGAACTTTTAAACATATCTTGTAAGAACTTTTAAACATATCTTAAAGCACCTGCAGACTCAAAATTAGCACAAAACCCAAGACTGTACATCATTTCCTGGAGTTGGTTTTCATTAATTTCTGATTTGAAATGATGAAGCAACAATAAAGTACAGTTCAAAAAGTCAAAAAGTTTTGAGTGAAAATTAGTTTCATATCTTAGGCCAGCCAGCTATTATCTATGCAACAGAGAAACAGTTAATTAACTTATTTAATCCTCAATTTTCTTATATGTAAAATGGAGAAAAGTAACTAATTCACAGGGTTCTTATGAGAATTGACAAAATATAATCACAGAGCCTGGAACATAGCAGACATTCTTTAAATATTAGTTCACAGCCTTCTTAACTGTTTGCCTGCACATCACCAACTTAGTACATTCAGGCATTTGATTTATTTTTACCTCATTTGTATATATTCTAATTTCCTATCCATGGAGCTTAAATTTTAGCTTCCTCTTATGATATAAAGAACAGCAAGGAGAGAATCAAAGTTAAAACTATGGATACATAATGAATAATCCATTTGACATTTCAAAGAGAAGTTTCAAATATGTTAAAATACGGTTTAAATCAAACTGTGATTGAAAAATAGTAGATGTGATCTATTTTTATGAAAAACTGAAACATATTTGATAGGTTTTAGCATTTATGAATCAAGTTTGCTATGGTGGATGTATAGTTAATTTTCTTACATGTTACACTATCTACTAAAACTAAGCGATACACTTTTTAGTAATGTCCTGGAAACTAAAAGCCTACTACTTCATTTTCATTCAAACGACTTTAAAAATTTGTAGTAACCTCTTCTTAACTTTAACCCTTCTCCTTTTCTATGAAAACCAGCTTTTCTAACACAAAGTTTGATCATGACCTCTGAGTATTAATTACTTGTGAAATAAATAAATAAATGATACTTTATTCAAGGCACCACAATGATTTTTTCCTAGATTTTTACCTTTTTAACATAAGTAGACTAATGAACATCAATTCTTAATCCCTAAAGGGAAGCTTACCCAAGAAGAGTTATTTATTTTTAAAATTTCAAAATAAACTGCATTAAAAAAAAGGGGGGGTGGCCCTCCCTGGTGGCGCAGCGGGTTAAAGCACAGCACTGAGAATCTGAAGCCACTTCCGCATGAGTTCGATTCCCGCCTG